GACGAATTGCGTTTTGCCAGAGAGATTTTTTTAGAAAGATTCTCCTAATTCAAAAATAGAAAGAATATAAATAAAGGCGCATACGCGGGAAGGGGCCCCCCTCTTTCTTAGAATTCAACATTTATGATATGTTTTGCATCTTGTTCGCCCACTCTTCATTCAGGGTGATTCGAACCAGGGGAGGATCTTCCACCTTTAAGGTCATAGCACCAGTACTTGAACGCTTACTCTTACTGCTCTTCTCAGGTTCACCTCTTTTGGATGCCCTGAGGTTTGAAGTCATTTGTTTATCACAGAACAAGTCCCCCTCAGTCACTGCCATAGTTGACCCTCTCTTCCAGATCCTCGCTTCTATGAGCCAAATCACTCTCCTCGGGAGTTCTCTCCTTGACTACACCCTCCTCGGCTTTGTTACCCAAACACTCATCCTGAGCAATCTCTTCCGGTTCAGCAGTGTCCAGATCTGGCATCTTTGCCTCTTCTTGTTCAGGGTCCTCTAGAACCGCAAAACGGTTCGGGCTGACTAGGTCCAGTTGGGTCATTCCACTCGCACAACTAGTGTCCAGCCCCCCTTTACTATTGTAACTACTGGTACCTGACCCCGTCGGCTCGACATTTTTGCAAGCACCGACCCTGACTCAATAGGGCAATTCAAAGAGGAGAACGAGGACAGCTGACTACCGCTAAAAGTCAGACTAAGAACATTGTATGATTGAAAACTGCCGCTGCATACTACCCGGTGCTTGCAGGTCTGACTGGTGCCTTCTCTCCAACAGCTGCTTCAATCAATGTTAAGTCTGACTACGCCCGCAGCTGACTACTTATTGAAAGACCGAACAGGAAATGAAAAGTCGTACTACAACAACTGTAAATAAACATTCCCTCCCCGCTCTGACTTTGATCGACTTGCCCGCACAGCGTCTTTTTTGAGAAAAGAGGTCAAGGGGCTAAGTGACTCTCGAAAGTCGTCTTTTGTATCGCGTCAAGAGAAATGACATAGATAAGATCATTGCTTAAAGAGTTTCATTGTCGAATTGATCTCGAAATTGGATCCCAATAGTAGCTGCTGCCCAAAGGTGCTTTATGAAAGCCGGTCCACAGCAGTGAAAGTACGATTGATTCCGTCGATCGAACGAAAACCGCTTCTTGCTTTTTTGGCTTGACTACTCTGCTTGCTTAACACAAGTCTTATTTAACCTTCACGGACCACTTCACTACCCAGCAAGCTCCGGCTCGAAAGCAAGAAGCAAGGGCGCAGCTGCTGCGCGAACGCCGTTGCGCCTTAGCGCATCCCCTTTCTTGCTCGTTAGCGCTGTTTTTTGATTGCAGCTAGCGCGCTTGACTAATAAGATAGAAAGGGCCTTTCTCGCTTGTTTGAAGCCATATAAGGCTTTCCTCAATCGGCAAACAAGGGGGAAGTCTGCCACACCAACCCTTTAAGAGATAGGGACTCCAGCGCAGCGGTAAGAAAAAGTCACTCAGTGAATCGGTGGATCACACTTGGAGACAGGGACAGGGGCATGCCTGACTCTTTAGAAAGTATACAAGTGTTGAAAGAGTGAAGTCTGGGGACAACGGTAAACGTGAGGAATGGCACCTCCGCCCTACTAAAGAAGTTCGCAAGCAAGGGACATGCCGAACACCTACCTTTCCAACTAAGTCCAAGGCGAGGACCTTTTAATTGACGATGCGTTCCGTCGTCAGCAAGCGGTGGCCGACAAGGCCCCTTTCCTTAGAGTCAAGTGGCTGAACGCCCCTTTCCCTAAATATCTTGGGAAGCGAAGAGGACAGGTTTGAAACTCATTCGGTAATCTTCTCCTGAAGGTAGGCATTTCCCCAAGGCACTGATATGATGACTCTCTCAATTACACGTGTTTTAGGGAGTTGAACGTCTTATTCTTATGAGTGGCCTATGTGAATATAAGCCAGGAGCAAGGATTCCGGAAAGTCAAATTCTATATTGCAAGTGCAAGTCGACGTTCCTGATATGAAAGTGAAAGCCGGCCCTAAGCAGGATCCAAAGACGTTTAAGTCCAGTTCCAATCTGGATATAAAAGTAAAGTTCAATCGTCGAAAGTGAGATCTCTTTTAGTCCGGTCTTCTTTTCTCTTTTGAGTCAGGTTCTTAAGACAGGAAATCGGGTTTTCTGAATATCTCTCTTCCGGCCGCCGGCCTGGCCTATTAAGTAAGTTAGTTAGAGATCGAAACTGGACCTGAGAGAGACTAGACTTCTAGTAAGAGTAGGTGCGCCTTAAGTTGAGGAGAGCTGTTCACAAGCAGTGGTTATGAGCTCTTTCTTGTTCCGGTTCAGAAGAGGCTGCGCACCTTCAGTTGCACTAGTGGATTGAATAACCTTTTTTTTGAGTGCCAACAAAGTGCATGTGTTCTTGGTTAATAAAAACACAAGTATAGGCTGGAGGACTGATACTATAAGTAGGACAAAGGCCTTCAAAGAGAAATGAAAGGATTTTTTGAGCATTTTTCCACTTATCCAAGGAATCCCTTTCTTGACATTTGTATTTGAGAGAGAGAGCTATGCTTAGGTCAGTTCCTTCAGTCAACTTTTTTGGTAAGCCAAAAGTGAACTTTAGGTAAGTAAGTAGTCCCGTATGAAATTCAGAAAACATTCATATCTGGCACTTGAGGAGGTCAATCTTAAGTGTTGGAAGCTACTGCTAAGGGACTCCCCCTCATCTAGAAAGGATAGGCAATTGAGAGAGAATAGGGCGATAGCGACAGACACAGGAACTGAAATAGATTTAAAGATTACTTCCGTAGAGGAGAGGGGAAGGCTGCTTAGATAGGGCGATAGCCCGGTTTTTATTGTTTATCCTTTCCTGCGCTTGTCTTGTATTGAGGTATACCGAAGAGATTCGTAAAAGTAGGTAACAGAAGGGGAGGGATTGCTGTTTTTTATTAGTGAGGACAAGCCGCTTTCATTTTCAACAATCTAATGCCACACCAACCCTTTAAAGAGTAGGCGGTTCGTATCTTTCTATGACCCCCAAGAAGTAGGAGGATAGGCAGAGCAAGAGCTCTTGAAGTCTACCCGGGCGCGCTTCTTCATTCATCCATTTAGGCCCGGCTAGGAACACGTGGATCCAGGGAACCTGGCTCGGGAACAGCTTCTTACTAGTAGGAGCTAATCACAGTAAGAGAGTCCAATCTCTGAAATAGAGCTTAGTCTCTCCATAGTAGTCTACTAGTAGAAGGCTTAGGTTATGACTTGATCCAATAGAGTCAGAACACCCTTCTATCTAAAAGAAATGGTGCTCGATGAAAGGATCCAGATTCCACACTATGCTGTGGGCTGGGGAGAGAGCTGCTCTGCGAAGCTGGGCGTTCAGTGTTCTTATGGAGGAAGCATACTAGAAAGAGAATTGAAAGGGCCTTCAAAAAAGAGCGAGGGGGTGATGGGCAACCTTAGTCTATATGTTGCTCGTGAGCCGCCAAGTACCAGTCTCGCAACAGTATTGGCGCAAAAAAAAGGATCGGTCCTTCACTTGCTGATCGTTCGCGAGTCGAACTCGCTCTCTTGCCACGCCTTTCACTCACTCGCTTGAGTCGGACTCAATCACTCTTTGAGTTTGGAGGATCATTCGTTATTCACTCTCTTGCTATTACCCGCAGGGAGCGCAGCAACCAAGATGCATATTATCATATAGAAAGAGGCGAAGCGTAGCGATTCGTACTACCGGAAAAGTTTCGCTAACCGGCAGGCAATAGAATCAGCCGATAGGCGCAGGCAAGCGTAGCGAATCACATAGATAAGCCCCTACCTGCCAGCGCGCGGATGGATAGGGCGGGCGAAGCGCGAAGGGGATGGATGTCTGAGCGGTTGAAAGAGTCGGTCTTGAAAACCGAAGTATTTTTAGAAATACCGGGGGTTCGAATCCCTCTCCATCCGCGTGAACATAACATGTAATGTTGTTACGAATGTAACTCCCGAAGGATCGACCACTATTCTAAATATAGTAAGGCGGAGAACTGTTGTTCAGTGGAGCGCCGGAGTGCGGAGGTTGTTCCCATCATTGAAGTCAGGGTGTGGGACTGAGCCTTCCGAATGAGAAAGAAGAAAAGTGCTTAGTTTCGTTGGAAAAACCAACGCAAATATCATATTGACTTTCTCTCGCCCTACTTCTAAAGATAGATAGAAAGGGTTGGAGAGAATTTCAGAAAGTCATTCTCTCCTTTCTAAAGCTGCGCAAGGCGGCCCCCCCAGAACAAAGCCCACCCCTCTTTTCCCCCCTTTAATGAAGGACCCTCGCCTCGCTTCCTATTCATTTGTGGGTCTGGACCCTATTTTTTTTTTTCAATTTCGAGAATCAACCAACGGAAAAATCCGTAGCCCAGGTGACTCACAGCCTCCCTCTCGCCCAAATAAATGAAATGGGATGAATCAAATCAATAAGCTTTTTGATTGATTCAGGGCGCAGCGAAGCCAAATTCAATCAAGGAAAGGGGGCTTACTTTTCCTGAGGCTGATTCATCCTATTCAAATTTAGCTATGCTAATGGAAGAGGAAAAGTTTTCAGATGAGATGGACCCCCAAGAGATGAGCGAGAACCCCCAATTGCTTAGGGGTCGCACTCTGTCCCGCTTGGTGGACGAAATCTTCTCTCCTTTTTGAATTCTTTCTCCCACACACCCTTTTTGCCCTCTTTCGCCGAGGAGGAAAGAATAATCTTCCAAGCGGACAGAGACCTAAATTTCCATTAGATTCATTCCTAAGCTTGCTTTGTTGCAGCAAGATGATCAGTCCGAGAGTGCTGGAGAGAAGAGAAAGCGGTAAAAACCTCTCTTATTCGGTCACCGAGAAGTCGGACGACTCTTCAGTAACCCAGGGTGATCCGACCCCTTCGACGCTTTTTTCGCTGTATACCCCCTCCATCCTTCGGAGGTGGAAGAAAGGGTACTCACATTTTAATACATAGTAGGGCCCCAGAACGCTAAAAGGTGGGGGAACAAGAGTTGTCACGATAGAAAAGAGAAAAAAAGAAATGACTATAAGGAACCAACGGCTCTCTCTTCTTAAACAACCTATATCCTCCACACTTAATCAGCATTTGATAGATTATCCAACCCCGAGCAATCTTAGTTATTGGTGGGGGTTCGGTTCGTTAGCGGGTATTTGTTTAGTCATTCAGATAGTGACTGGCGTTTTTTTAGCTATGCATTACACACCTCATGTGGATCTAGCTTTCAACAGCGTAGAACACATTATGAGAGATGTTGAAGGGGGCTGGTTGCTCCGTTATATGCATGCTAATGGGGCAAGTATGTTTTTCATTGTGGTTCACCTGCATATTTTTCGTGGTCTATATCATGCCAGTTATAGCAGTCCTAGGGAATTTGTTCGGTGTCTCGGAGTTGTAATCTTCCTATTAATGATTGTGACAGCTTTTATAGGATATGTACTACCTTGGGGTCAGATGAGCTTTTGGGGAGCTACAGTAATCACAAGCTTAGCTAGCGCCATACCTGTAGTAGGAGATACCATAGTGACTTGGCTTTGGGGTGGGTTCTCCGTGGACAATGCCACCTTAAATCGTTTTTTTAGTCTTCATCATTTACTCCCCTTTATTTTAGTAGGCGCCAGTCTTCTTCATCTGGCCGCATTGCATCAATATGGATCCAATAATCCATTGGGTGTACATTCAGAGATGGATAAAATTGCTTCTTACCCTTATTTTTATGTAAAGGATCTAGTAGGTTGGGTAGCTTTTGCTATCTTTTTTTCCATTTGGATTTTTTATGCTCCTAATGTTTTGGGGCATCCCGACAATTATATACCTGCTAATCCGATGTCCACCCCGCCTCATATTGTGCCAGAATGGTATTTCCTACCGATCCATGCCATTCTTCGTAGTATACCTGACAAATCGGGAGGTGTAGCCGCAATAGCACCAGTTTTTATATGTCTGTTGGCTTTACCCTTTTTTAAAAGTATGTATGTACGTAGTTCAAGTTTTCGCCCGATTCACCAAGGAATATTTTGGTTGCTTTTGGCGGATTGCTTACTACTAGGTTGGATCGGATGTCAACCTGTGGAGGCACCCTTTGTTACTATTGGACAAATTTCTCCTTTAGTTTTCTTCTTGTTCTTTGCCATAACGCCCATTCTGGGACGAGTTGGAAGAGGAATTCCTAATTCTTACACGGATGAGACTGATCACACCTGATTAGTGAGAAATTCTTACACCAATCATTTACGAGTGGGTATTACACCAAGAATTTACAAGCGGATCGAGGAATGAAGGGAGAGGAATTTGAATAGAAAGAAAGAGACGTATTTCGAATTAGAGTAAGGGCACGCTAAGACATTCCTTTTCGTGCTTTCGATCTGCTTACTTTGAATAAAGAGAAAAAAAAAAAAGAATAGATAGGCGGAAAGGCTTTACACAAGACCACAGAGCGAGAGAGAGAGCCTTCGCTTACCTGCTTAACCGTACCCTCCTATCGTACCTATATAGCCTTTCCTTCAGTTATATCCAGTTTCAGTTCTGCTTCCAACTACCGATGGGAGAAGGCTTGGACGTATAGCAAGATTAAATAAGAGGTATTGCATACGGGAATGATATATGAAATGAAAGGTTGGAAACAGAGCTGGAGATGAGCGCTAGCCAATGGTTAAGACTTCAGAAAGCACCTTAGCAATTACCAGTAATGCCCCTATCGACCTCAGTCTTGTTTTTTGCTAGCTTGAGTTCATAACTTTACTATTTATCATTAAACGTAGAATATCCCGACTTCGCTAGCCAGAACGAAATGGACATATGAGCGATCGATTACGAGAGCTCGACCGATCAGACCGGGAAGAAGAGAAAGAAAGGTCAATCTCCGAAAGGCCTTCGCAGAGCTGAGCTTTAGGGGGTAATACTTTTTGTGGTCTTGCACATGGAAAAGTCAAGTATTCTACGCAGGCTTGATTTACCGGAATTTTTGCTTCAAAGAATGCTTTCAAGCTAGGAATTTAAGCACGGATAGCTTTATTTGACAATTAGCTGGAAGTCGGGTATGCCTATTCAACATAGACTAAGGCGCTGGGTAGATCGTAGATTGCCGGGTATGAATTCGATTCTAAGTCGGAGAATGCCCATGAATAGGGTCTTATTACAGAATCCGCAGTTTAGAAAGTAGCCCTAGACAGATCATTGCTAAGAGGAGAGCTGGGAATTTCTTGCTAATCAGGTGCTATCATCGTATTATAATGATTATTCCGACGTCAGAGCAGACGGGACTACCAATCCCAGAGTGAATTAACCTTGTCTGCACTACCACCTTAGTTTACTAGACCTTGGGGAATTGGCTAGTTACCCTCACTCCGCGTGGCAGCCTACCTACGTTTTGTCTTTTTCCTACGAGACCTTATAGTTTCCCAGCCTTTCTCCGCCTACATGCCCCCCGAAATCAGATTGGCTTTTTTCTTGAGGAAGGTCCATCCGCTTTTGTTTTCGAATAAGACTAAGGCGTGAGCGAGGGTCTCTTTGTGGTGGTCTTTCACCATCTTCCTTTTGTTTTGATTGGCCTATATCTTTGAATCCGGTCTATCGCTATTCCCACAGTCCCTTAGTCCCGTACCGGCTGTCGGTCTATCTCATATTCGCAGAAGAAGGAACTTGCTTAATGCCATGCCGGAAGTGTAATTAAGTAGGCGGCTGGTCGTAGAATAGTCTTTTCAGTAAGTGCTGTTGCAGTTGTAGAACCATTGGCCATTGATTCTTCCTCGCAAACCCTTCATCCCCGCTGTCTAGCTCTCTCGTAGTCCAAAGCTAATTCAATCGTATCCGCCTTTGAGGAAAAGACCGAATAAGTCTTTGAGCCATCCTAATAAATCCTCGTAGGTAATGCTCTTGGTCTGCCTTCAATCAGTTTATCAGCCTAAGGCTTCGCTCTATTACCTGTGTTGTAAGCTTTCCAGTCTTTGAAGTAAGGTTCAATGCTAGGAAAAAAGCTTTTGCTTCGCGGGTCTATCACCCCAATTGATTTTGTTAGGAAATTTTATATATGAGTATGCCCCTATCCCGTAAGCCTTCCATCGTTGCAAGCCCCTTCCATTCGGCCCAAGCTTTCTTTCGATTACGTCTGCTTCCGATTCTGTTATTCCGTTAGCCTTAGTTAGTCGTTTAGTCAAAGCCGTACGTATGCCCCTTTCGAATCGTTCTATCATTCGAAGTAGGAGCTGGGGTTGCGGGCAGAGAACTATTGGTATAGCGAGTTCATGTGCTTGCAGTTGGGTTACTACCATCCCCCTAACCATTAGTATCACACTCTGTGAAGTGTCTCTCTGGTATTGGGATAACTTCAAGCCCCTTAGCTCGCTTGTATCGGGGGGAGCTTACTTCACTTCTTTTCTTTAAGTCACTTGCCAGGAGGGAAAGCAGCAGATAAAGAGCACCATCACCTTACTTAACAAAGGGCTTATGCGAAAGAGCACCGCTTCCCCGAGAAGATAATCCGCTTTCCTAAAATCCCTACTTTATTGCTCTAGCTCTTGACTCATATGGCACTGAAATTGGATAGGTTCACGCTTAGGCCTGGTTATGGAAACTCTTTAAGCATAGGAAACTCCAACTTAAACAGGAACTGGCCTGGAACTATATGTAAGGGCACTCTCATCCACTGGCTGCAAGGAAACAACTGGATTGGCTTTTCTAACTCTCTTTAAAAGAGACTGCTTTCAAATTCACTTGCCCTAGAACCTGCTTTTTTTTGATATTGATCTAGAATCAGCTATTCCTAGTTTTTTTGATTATTCCTAGCCAGAGAAATGAAACTAATCTCGAGATCCAGAAACCTATCTATACGCCTAGCCTTAAGCAAAAGAAATCTCGTTAGCCCTACCATAGAAACTATTACCTCGACTTGGATTGAAAGGAAGAACTTAGGACTTTGGGACTTACCCTAGGACTCCAACCCCTAGCATTCCAATTGAAACTCAAGGAGATGGAACTAAACAGGCTTAGGCCCCTTCCCTCTTTCAAGGGGACTAGAGGGAATGCAACTACTGAGACAGCAACTCAAACTAAATCCCGAGAGAAAATAAAAGATTAGTGAGGTAAGGTCTATAGACTGTAAGGCAGAAGGCTTGAAAGGAAGAGCACTCCTACTTACTTTTGGGAGAAATCCTAGACACCTTAGACACCGGATCCTCGGTAGGACTCTTATTTGATAGGCATTAGGGGATTTGAGGTTTTGGGGTTTCACTCGCAGACCCAGCCCTGCTGCTTCCATCAGTCTCCTATCCTAAGTTTCTTTCTCTGCATGAATCAAGTTCTTCGACAGGACCATCCCGACCGAGGGCTAATCATAGATCTACTATGGTCTTTTTTTTGATTCTTTTATCTTATTTCCGGTTCCAATTTCTGGGAGCATTATGTTGAGTCACTCCAAGAGTAGAATCAGCAGCTCACCTCACGTTTTAGGAACCGAGGAATCACACGTAGACGGACCTGAGCATTCTCCTGCTCTACGGAGCCCTCTGGAGCTAGAGTTGGGGCTGCTTGACGCTCTTCTCCTTTCGAGTGAATTGAATTACTTCGGCTCGGATGCCTTTGATCAAATGGAAGGATGGATGCCTGCCTTTAGCGACTTCGTTCGGTCATTCCTTCTTTACTTGTTCGCTATGGCTTGAGAGTTAATCGCACGAGAGAGTAAGTAAGAGATTGAAAAGAGGATCATTGGACCTCGCTCTCGGGCCCAGAGGCAGAGCAAAGAAAGCCTTAGATCTTTGCTTGTTTCGTGGTATGGACCAAAGCAAAGGTTCTGCTGCTATCGACACCTACCCAATTAACCAAAAGTATAATCGATCGAGACCGAAGCTTATGCAATTGTGGAATTCCGTTCAAATAGAAAGCTTTTTGGCCAGTTCAAGGTCAGCCGTGAGCTGTAGGAAAAGATAGTAGCGAACCAGAAGAAATTCCCGTAGTTGCATAAGGGGGACGTTGAAAACATTCCAGCAGATAGTATGTAATACTCTTATCAAAACGAGCACTATACTCTTTCTTAGTTTAGGGCAGAAACATACTCAAGGAACGCAAAGCTAACCCTCAAAATTGAATATTACCTCAGCTCAAAGGTTGTTTACTCAGATATTTCTTATCAAAGCGAGGGATTCGTTTCAGGCGAAATCAAATCAGAAGCAATTTCCGCTCTACCATGAATTGTTGCTATTTCCGCACCCCTGTCCGGTGGTTTGAGAAAGAAAGTCGAGACATTCAGAAAGAGAGTTATGGCATTTCGAGGATTATAATATGGTCCTATTGATTCAATCTTTATGCTTGGCACGGAACTCTTGTTTCGAGTGAAAGGGAGAGCAGTGGCCCGCACCGCATTCACCGGTAAATTTCCCTCTACGGGGCGGGGTGTGGAAAGCACTATAAGTTAGTTGACTTCTCGACCAAAGGTGGTCTAGCTCAACCTCCAAGTAGGAATAGATTCTATGAGTCGTGATCCAGTTAAGATAGGGGGCATTTCTAGCATTGAAAATCCCTATTCTTATTGAATAGTTCAAATAACTAGTTGAACATACCTATTCTTTTCAAGAATAGCCTCCCCTTATCGAAAAGAAGGGCCCGAAGGAGAGAGGACTGGCCTTCTCATCCCCCTAAGGAAGTAGAGCGCGGTGAAAGAATTCCGTCGTTCAGTCGAAGGGGACAGGTTAGCAGCTTCAGGATAACCCGAGCAGTGAAAGAGAAGTAGGGTTCAGGCCAATCGATCCTATTTCGATTATACGGCTGGGTTCTAAACCAAAAAAGGGCATTTGAAAGCAGAGCAAGTATTAGTAGCATAACAAAAAAGCCTTCCTCGTCATTAATATCTTTGCTCGCGGCAATTGTGACCTCTCGGGAGAATCGATGACTGCATCAAAGATGCGGTGCTAGTACATCTGAGACTTCTTAATTGGCTAGTTGTAAATAGCCCCAGGGCTATGGAACAAAGGATTATCTCGGACCTAGACCGAGGTATTGATGGTGATTTTCGAATCTCGCAGAACAGAATGTGATACGATGAGATAGAATGCAATAGAAACAAAGACAGGGAACGGGTTACCTACTCTTAACGGGCAAAGCGAGCCCCTTTATTCTGAATTAAAGAATTAGGAATCAATCAAATCTCCCCAAGTAGGATTCGAACCTACGACCAATCGGTTAACAGCCGACCGCTCTACCACTGAGCTACT